AAAACATTCATACCACCAAGACTGTCAGGTACTGGAAGAGTGAGAAAGCCATCATACAAGATGTCTGAATGGTTCAATTGTTCTCAAGGCAGCAAGAAGTGATGTAATGTTGAAACATGTTTAATTCAGCCTTTTTTGGCTAGTTTGTGATGAAGAATATTAAGAATTTCATGTTGAAACCAGTTAGTGCGGGTGAAGTTTGATTTAAACCTTGAACTCATACGGCTTGTCGGAATTGAACCCCAACCTCTTAATCCCTGAAATCGATGTCCTGTACTCATTGATCCTGGTCAATCTTGCCCCTGGTGATGGTTGGCGTATCGGGATAAGGTCCATCCCAGCCGGGATTGCGATCTACTCTCACTGACATCCATGCCCCCACATGTCATATTCATCTTCTTCCCTAGCCCCTCTCTCCCGCTCTCCTGCAATCAGCACCGGTCCTCTTCCAGCACCTCCCTATCTCCATGGTAGCCGGGCGCGTCAATGCCGTCAACCCCGCGCTCGAGGACATTGTGTCGCTGGTGTCCGGTTGTCCGCCCGCTCCATCGCGTCACTGGTGGCCGCCTGCCTACTGCGATGGCTAATTCCTAATGGCTACTGTAATGTTTACGCCCATGCAACTTGTCCACAACTTTACAAATAAATCCCATGGCTAGCTTAGGAATCAATCCACCTGCTTGCTTGCTTGCTTAGGTTAGCTTTTTTGCACTTGCATCTCTCGCCGAAGTTATTAAACCAGACATCTTGTATAAGCCCAGCACATTCAGGTCGTTGAACAGCGTTGGCCGGGGAGCATAACGCTAGCGACGAACCACTTCTCGCCTTCGGCGGGGCCTCCGTGACGACATGAGCCAGACCCGTGGAGTCGTCCATCTGCAGATGTTGGGGTGAGCACGCACATCAGGCGGTGCAGGCGAGGGAGCCTGGACAGGAAGAAGTGAGCGCAATAATGGTGCCATTTCACTGGGCAGCGCTGCCGCCGGGGAGGTGGGTCTGCATCAGTCACTCGTCATGGAGACGGACGCCTCGTCACTTGTTAGCAAGGAGAAAAGGAGAACGTTTGGGGGAAGAAGATGAAGATGACAAGTAGGACCGCATAGTCAGTGAAAGAAGCGATAATCCCGACTGGGATCCACCTTTTCCCGGTAAGACAAACAATATATGGTTGGTTTAGGGTTGGAATTCACCAAGATTGTTGAGTACAGGGTATCAATTTCAAGGATTGGAAGTTCGAGGTTTGATTCAGACTGGATCTACCAGTTTAAGGTTTTTATCAGACTTTACCCATTCAAGTCCAAGTGGTGGACTATGTAATGTACCTAATGGTTGTGATGCACTATGATACTCTGGTTATGATGACATGATGATGAACTTATTAGTTATGATGTTTTGCAAGAAGTTTTCATTCTGTTGTTGTGATGATGAGCATAGTTTCATTTTTGATATGACGATGATCTTAGTTTTCATGCTGTTGATATGATGTGTTATGATGTTTTGCAAGAAGTTTTCATAGTTTGGGTGACTCGGCGTCGACAAAACCCAAAATGTCTCCACTTGGACATTTAGGGTGCCTCGGCGTCGACAAAACCCTAAATGGGTCCGTTTTGGGTGCCTCGGCGTAGACAAAACCCAAAAAAACCTAAGAAGTTACTGACATATTAATTTTATAAATCCAAAAAAATTTGCACAAAAATAGTTTGGCCTGGGGATCGAACCCAGGACTAGTGGGTAGTAACCAGGGGTTCAATACCAATGGGATAGTGCTAGTGATGTTGTTTTAGTAGCATCCAAAATTTTACTTATATTTAGTTAGGCACGCACTGTGTTGAGAGTGCGTTAAGGCCGGCAGCATGATGAACGTCCGTTTAGTATAACTCGTCGTTTCGGTTTCTGCCTTTAATACGTGTCCACCTACCGCTCTCTTTGATCACTCGCCCACTCGCCGCCCGCACCGCCCACTCCTCTTCCCCCTCTCTCCCGTCGAAACCACCCCCGACAGCCACCCCCACCGCTGTCGCCATGGACTGGCAGCTGGCCATCGAAGAGCTCGCCGGCAACAACCACGAGCTGCGCGTGCAGTACAGGGAGATCGCGCTGGTTCCCCAGTCTGGTGATGCTGAGGAACCATGCCCGCGGCCTGGTGAAGGTGATGACACCTGCCGAAAGGCAGCGTGCAATCCCTGCCCACCGCACCGTCCCGCCGGCGACCATTCTCCTGTGGGCGATGCGCGAGGTGCAGCGCTCCCCCGACCCCAGGCAGCGCGCCCGTTGGTGGATGTACCGCTCATGCACCACGCCGCCGGCCGCCGCGGATGACATCACCGACGCCGTCCTCGCTCTCCCAGCCCCCATCAACAACGCCTACTGGGAGAGGCGCAATCCATGGGTGCTCGGGCCAGACGACGACTCTGACGCCGAGTCCGAGTCCTCTGACGACTACGACTCTGACGAATCTGACGGCTACTCCTCTGACAACGAGGTGGACGAGGTCGTCGTACTCTTTGACGACTCCTCCTCCGACGAGCCTAATGTGCAGCTCCTGGTGTCCGTCCTCCACGCCGTGGAGGGGCAGAAGAACAACCCAATTGATGTGGATAAGCTGCCGGAGGTCGCCGACAACCAAGAGCTCGTCGTCGTCAAGCAAGAGGAGGGCGGCGGTGAAGATGTGGTGGAGCCAGAGCCGGCCAAGAAGAAGAGGGCGGCGGTGAACAACAATGACGTGTTGCGCTCCCAACGCCTGAAGATGCTGAAGAAGGAGGAGTGACATGCTGTCTTCAGTTTCGTCAATAGAAGAAAAAGTTCAGTTTCGTCAGTATGTTAGTATGCCAGTTCTATCTATGTCAGTTCTATCCATGTTAGTATGAACTTGCTATCTATGTCAGGCTATATATGCAGGTACTATATATGTATGCCAACAGTATCATGTTAGTATGTCAGGTACAAACTGAACTTAATCCAAGCTGATAATTAATCACAAACATAGTACTCTCACAAACAACATACAATCCAAGGTTCACCACAATAAAGCTTAACACATTCCAAGCTTTCCTCCATAGCTACTACAAAAGACATCATTGACACACATGGTCAGACAACAACACAACTTAGTCCTCATCACAAATAGCATTGATCTGGTGAAGCTTCCTCTTGTTGCTATCACCTGCTGTCTTGAGGTCAACAATGCAGGAAGCAAGAGTGCTCTTATCCATGGTCAACTTTTCCTTCACTTTCATCAGCTCAGCAATGCAACAATCCAGCTTATCCTTCTCTTTCTTCAGGTCATCCTTCTCTTTCTTCAGGTCAGCATAGCAAATCTCCAAAGTCCTCTTATCAGAGCTCAACTTTTCCTTCTCTTTAAGATGGTTGAACTTCAAATTCCTAATGACAGTGGCTTGAGCTACATGAATTTGCTTTAACTGGTCAACAACAGCCTTCAATTTTTTGATCTCAACATCCTTTGTCATGCTTCTTTCCACACTCACTGAAATGTTCTCAGCATCATTCTTCTGGTTTACCTTAGGCTGGCTATCCTTATAATCCAATAGGCTGTTCACATCTTCAACAAGCTTCTTATATGTCTCCTGCAACTCTTTTTTCTGTTGTGTGAGATTGTGTACAGTGCTTGAATGCTCCAGGCATGCCATCTTGTTATCATGCTGGCTATGCTCATACATAAGCCACAACTTATGAATATCATTCTGCAGATGCTCTGGCCAATGCTCATCTACCCACTGCACTAATCCACAATTTGCAACACCCTACAATACAAAAATTCAGTTCAAAATTACAGACATTACTTACAGATTTAGTTACATAGTTGATTCAGTTAATGTACCAGAATCAGATTCATTTAATGATGAATCATTATGGAAACTACAACTAAGAACAGTTCCTATGAACCCTAGAACTAAATTCAGTAACTATGAACCCTAGAACATCAGCAATAACTATGAACCCTAGAACATGAACAGTATCTATGAACCCTAGAACATGAACAGTACCTTTGAACCCTAGAACATGAACAAGAATTGGAATGCTGCAAACAAAACTTGAAACTTACTTCAGTGGCACAGGCAATGAACCTCCTACCAGTGCTTATACCCTCAAATGCAACATATTTCCTCCCTGGATTCCCATGCTCACAAATCACATTCAAGTCGTCAGCAAGACCCTCGAACGACGGCTCATCAATTGTAGCTGGGATCTGAGAAATCCAACAAAAACTTGTTCAAATCGAGCAAATGTTGAACCCTAGAAACCCTAGAACACAAATGAGCAATACAAGGTTCTGACCTTGAGAGGGGAGTCGTCGGAGGAGATGTACTGCGCGGGAGCCCTCAGTGCTCTCACTGTCGCTCCAGGACACCATGGCAGCCGGCAGCGACCGGAGAGGAGAGGAGCAAATGGGAGGGGAGCGAGCGAGCGTGGGAGCAGAGAGAGCGAGCGAGATGTGGTCGGGCGCGGGCGGTCTGTCTCTGCCGAATCGACCGCGTCTGTCTTAAGCAAACGGCGCCGTCAGCGTGTCCGTTAGGCCACGTCACGCATATTGGGCCCCATCTGTCGGAAACGCCCTCAACCGCGCCAAATTACATGTTCAGTGCAATCTGCAAAACTTTTACTGAATCCGCGGTGGCTTTTGCAAATGATTAGTGACCACGTTGTTTTCTGCAAGATAAGCCTCAAATGTGGTGGTTTCTTGCAATTCACTCCACTGCAACGCACGGCCATATGTGCTAGTAAGAACGAAGGATAAAACATTAGAAAATGAAAAAGAAAAAAAAACATGGTAAACCGGACTTTTTTAGGGGTGTAGCAAACCGGGGACCTACATGTACCTACAGCGCGCAGCGTACAAAATCTCGCTACTGGGCCGGCCGGCCGCTAGACGTCGCCCGAAGACGATTCCAATTGGGACTCGGTACGGGCAATATATACGCCTGGCGCCCTAACTCCCCTGAAAAAGGGCATAGAGGCCTGACAGAACTCGATCTGGATTCATGGCGACGACTGCCGCCGCAACGGACCGGCTCTCCGAACTCCCTGACAACCTGCTCATCCGCATCCTCTCCTTCGCCCCGGCCCGTGAGGCCGCCAGCACCACCGCGCTCTCCCGGCGATGGCGCCGCCCGCTCTGGCTCGACACCGGCGCCGTCAACGTCGACTACCGTTCCTATACCACCGGCGTCGGCTGCGGCGGCGATACTCTCAGGCGTCGCGTGCTGGACGACATGATAAACGCGAACCTCGCGTTCCTCCGCTCCCGCGGCCACGGCCCCAACAAGTTTACCTTGGTCACGAGCTATGGCACCGGTCTCACCACGCGCGACAACGCCACCTTGCACACCGCGTGCAGCCCGGAAGACGCCGAGGAGGAGTTGGAGGAGGAATCCGACGAGGAAGAGTTGGAGGAGGAGGAATCCGACGAGGAACAGTTGGAGGAGGAGGAGGAGGAGGAGTCTGCGAGCCTCGACGAGGATGAGTTCACCGTCGGCACCGAGGAGGAGAGCGCCCCCTGTGTCGTGCTGAAGGACATCACCCAGGCAGAGGAGTTCCGGCTCGAGTGGCTAGACTACGGGAGTTGCATGATCCCCTACTGCACGGGCTGGCTGCCGTTCCCCGCTCTCCGAGTCCTCGAGCTCACCGGCTACTCTCTCCAGCCCTGTCCGGACCTCGCGTTCCCGTGCCTGGAGGTGATGCGGCTCCGGCGGTGCCGCACGGACTACGCGACGCTCCAGGACATGATCTCCGCCGCGCCCAAGCTCGCTGACGTCCGCCTTGAGGACGTGAGATTCGTGAACTCGCAGCTCGAGTACCGGATGCGAATCCGATGCCCGGCGGCCACCGTCATCCTCATGGCCAACTGCGACTTCGGGTACCTCGACTTCGACGCGTGCCGCGTCGAGCTCGACGCGCCGCGCCTCCGCCGCTTCTGCTACACCGTCGTCACCTTCCTAGGCAGCTCCTTCTCCTTCGACTCGCCCATGACGCACCTGGAGGAGGTCCACCTGGCGTTGCACTCCCCAGCGGCGTGGCCACCGAGTTGCTCCATGCTCTATTCCATTAACCGTGTGAGGGTCCTCAAGCTCACGGTCTATTCCATGGCCGACCTCGCCGACGCTACGTCCGTACCTTTTCCCAGACTCGAGCGGCTCGAGATTGAAGAGGTCTGCGGGTGGTCTATCCAGAACCACGGCGTCGCCGCGCTGAGGGCCGTTGTGAGCCTGCTGCGTTGCTGCACCGAGGTGCGCGAGCTCCGGTTCAAGTTCAGATGGCTGGATTACCTTGAGGAAATGGCGGACCCGGATCGGGTTGCCGCCATGTCGGACTTCTCCCTGTGCAGATCCATCAACGCCGGCCACGAAGACGACGACGACGACGAAGGTTGCTGTTATGATTTGGGCCTTCATGGGCTTTGCTGCGGCTGCACGTTGGACAGCCTACGGAGTTCGCTGAGGAGGGTGGTGGTGAAGTTCGACGCGGAGGAGCTGACCTGCTTCCAGGTTCGGCTCGTCAAGTTCCTGGCGGAGAACGCCATGGTTCTCGAGGAGTTCGTCGTCGACGGAGGGAAGGGGTACGACTCGGGCCGGATCCGCCGGAAGGTGGCGAGATGGCAGAAACGGAGACCGCCGTCATGTCCACAACCGCCAAAGACTGCCGTTCCACAGTTGTCCGAGTTCCCGCCGCTCGGCAGTGCCCTTGATCCGGACTCAGTTCCAGCCAACACACCCGCCGTGGCCTCGTCCATTGTGCAGCAAGATGCAATTTTGTAGAAATAGAAAAGTAGGTGGAAGCAAAGGTACACTGAAATTGAACTATATTCTGACTAAGACTTAAAGAAAATGTCAAACGACCTAGAGGCATAGATGCAATTTTCCAGAAATAGCAAAGTAGGTGCAAAGTAGTAGTAGATGCAATTCTAGATGCATAGATGAGCATCGAGAATTTTTAGGTTATTGAAAGAGCTTCTAGTAGCAAAATCTCCCCAGAAGAAATCCATAGGCATAGGGAAGAAAGGGATTTTTTTTGTCCGTTCAAGAGAAACGAAAGAAGCGACTTATATTTAGGAACGGAGAGAGCATAACTTAATTTGTGAGAAAAATCTAAAATAAACCTTGAATTCGTACTCGAGGTCTGAATAGAACCCTCACCTTCCAATCCCTGAAATCAGCACCTTGTATTTATCGATCCCGGTCAACCTTCACCCTAAATCTGTTTGTCGGGTCGGGAAAAGCATGATCCCGCCCGGGATTATTCGCTTCTCTTACTGATTATTTGGGGCCACATGCCATCTCCATCTTCATCCTCAATCATCCCATGCACAAGCCTCCGCCATGGACGCTACCTGCGTTGCCACATGTGAATATTCACAACATGTCTCCGCAGCTTCACCCTGCACAGGCACGCACAATGTACACCGTCTGTGTTGCTAACCGTCGCCCTCGGTACCGTCCTTTTGGCCGACGCGCGCTGGATCTACACCACCGGACCACTTCACCAGGCACTCATCCACTCCGGCCACCTCGTCGGCAGCCTCGGCGTCCAATGGATCCGCATCCGTGACCGCGGATACGGGCCACACGACGCCACCTGCCAGGCCAACCTACAGCTCTGTGCGGGCCACCGCTGTCCTCGTCTGCCCTGGTGACCACCAGCACGTATGTCATTGTCAAACACGCGAGAGAGAACCTGTCAAGCTCAGGGAAGAACGTATACATGCAGACGAGGGGAGAATTTGTGCTGCCAAACGTTGCAGCGTTTATTGTTTTTCTCTTAGCTATTTATTATGTGGGGGTTACAAATCAAGAAGAGTGAAGTCTGTTTTAAACCTTAAGATTGCAGAGCTCGTTCAAAATAAACCCTCACCTCAAAATTCCTGAAGTTTGTACTCTGTACTCTAATCCCGGTCTGATCCCGACCCTCTCAATCAGTTTAGACCAATTTGGTACACCAGGAAAAACACTATCCCGCTAGGATAACTTTGTACTCACTGATTAAGTAGACCCGCGCGTCATATCCATCTTCGCGCTGGGAACAGATCAGAAGCGCTTGTGTGCATGCGTACATATACGCGTCTAGCTGGCGGCTAGAATCGATCAAGCAACTTGCTGTGTTGTACTACGTGCGTGTGAGTTCTGCACTTCTGCTGTTGTTCGGTATCGGTTGCAACCCATGTACGCGCTCTAGTTGTCGAGGCAAAGCCAGGAGAACTTGTGGTGGCAGGCAACTCTGAACTGCTCGGCGCAGATTGTAGAAGGCTGAAAAGCTTTGGAATGCTACTCACATTCAGTATTCACATCAAAGGATTACATTACATATACATGAGTGTACACTGCGAAGAGATTAGGAGACGTGGAACAACACGTAAGGAACTAGTCCTGACCTGAACGTTGCATGCAACAAGCTCTCTCAACAAGGACCAAGCAGAAGCCGTGGTCGCACACACCACGTCAAGCTACTCGATGCCGTGCTACCCCACGAACTGCATATGGCCAGGGGAGCACCGATGTGCGGGCGCACCACTTCATCATCTTGCTCTCCTCTACTCACGATGAGAGCACGGACTCCTCGGCATGAGGCGTACTGCCGACGTGCGGCCCGGGTCCTGGCATGGACTGGAGCAGCGCACGACGTTGTTTGCAACAATGGGCACGAGGCGCACGAGGTGCACGGCAACGACAATGCGGCACAGACGCGTCTGCGTTGATTTCAGGAGAGAGAGAGGCACTAGGGATAGAGGATGAATTGACACGTGGGGTAAGGATGTAAGTGAGGGTAGACCCTGATCCTGGGCGGGATGGAATGTTTCCCGGTGTGTCAAACAGGTTCGGGGTTGGGATCAAATCAGGACCATGAGTATAAGGTACAAACTTTGGGGATTTGAAGATGAGGGTTCATTTTAGACGGGCTCTATAACCTCAAGGTTTAAAATAGACTTCACTTCTCACATAGCTATACAGGAGCACGCATGTAGTACGAGAGGTACGTGACATGGCCGTCTGACGCCGGCCGTCCGGCCGGCCACTGGCGGCACGCGTGCAAGGGTAGGACGGACCACTCGCTCGAGGTGCACGTACGCACCAGCTGGTACGACCAATAGCGATGGATGGCCAGCGTATTCTACCTAGCTCCTCTAGCTCTATGTGCACATTGTAGCTAGCTAGCACATGATTTTCTTTCTGTCTTAGCTTCGTACGCCTATCGGTAGATAGTGCAAGACATCACGGTCCATCTGCGTACACGCGCCAATTTGTACTCCCTCAATTTCATAATGCAATACATATTTTATTTGGGTCCGAATAACTGCCACACGTGTGGCGTCGACAGGAACCCGCCCGCACGCCTCGTGTGGCATGGACGGGAACCGGCCCGCACGACCACGTCCGCGCACACAACGCACGGCCCGCACGTCCGTTGCGTGCCAACCCCGCCCGCACTGCCCCGTCCGGGCAAGCCGACCCGCTGCCCGCACGACCAAGCAGTTCCCGGCCTCCGATCCATTCCCTCTCTCGTCTGCCGCCATCGTCCCCCACCTCTCGAACCCCGACCTCCGTCGCCGGCCTTCTATGGTTGCCATGGCAAACAGATCAGATCCGTAGGGTACTCCCACCTCAAAACCACACCCAACCCTCCCCACCCCCAGCCCCAAACTCCAACCCAGCCCTCCAGAGACGATCATCTAAAAACCAGGTGAAAATCTCCCGATCTCGACCTTCTCATCCTTAAGGCTGAAAATCTCCCGATCTTGTGCTGGATCTATGCTATAGGGGTAGAACACTACATGGTTCAGTGTGTAGTCGCAATTGCCAGGCAGAGTACGCCAGATCTGCCATGTACTACGTTTGAAATTGACTTAACTTCCTAGCTTAATTGACGCAAGTAGTTGAGTATGAAAAATGGATGAGTAGGAATCACTAAAGAAGGACAGGAGAGACAAATTTTGGAATGAAGAGGGTTGGAAGAAATTAATTGCCACTTGTTTATAACGACAATTGCCACCTTTCGTTGTCAGTAGCTGCCACCTATTTTGACCCGTCGCTTGCCATCCATATCTTCTATGTGCAAGCAGCAGAAGAATACAATTCTTGTGGATTGTTGATGCCTTCTTGTTCATGCAGTGATTGAGAACACATTGGAAAGAAGCGAGACACGGAAAGAATGAATCACGAAGATGGCGCTGATGCTTGGGGTTCTCAAAGGCCAGAAACGCCCCCTTGGGATGCAACAGAGTACAGTCAGCTCATCTCTTCAGGGCCGTTGCTGCCGCCACTAGAACAGTATGCAGGCGTAGGTATGATGCGTGATAACAAAAGAAGAGAACAGTTGCCATCTTCGCAACGATGAAGATGACATTCTACTTATGTCGTACACTGTCATTTTTTCGCAGGTTCTTATGACCAAAACACAATTAGGGGGCCCCCGTGGCAAGTTCACTCACAAGGCGCTAACACTGACAAATGTACGGGCAACCAACTTCAACTAGCTTGTATGAATAATCAAGGTAATGCAAACCGAGAAAAGAGCACATATTGATGTGGACATGAAAAATGAACATGCAAAAAAACTGGCAAAAGGACTCACGAGTTACCACGGGTGAAAATGCAGAGCCTTCATGCAGCGCGTGGCATCAGTCAGCACCAATGTACCTGCCATCGACGTCATACACAGGTGAGTCCATAAAAAAAGTGAAGTTGCGGATGATCAATTAGCAGAAGGAGCATAGTTGACAACTACAATTGCCATGACTGGACATCTACAGTTGCCATGTATTAGAAACTACACTTGACATCCCTGGACAACTGTTGTTGCCATCCTGGACACCTGCAGTTGCCAGGGAAGAACAACTGCAGTTGCCATGCCAGTGCGACTACATTTGCCATGACATGGCAACTGCAGCTGCCATGAAGGAACAACTGTGGTTGCCATGCCGATGCAAATACAGTTGCCATGCCAGTAAAACTGCAGTTGCCACATCAGGGGAAACTGCAGTTGCCGTGCTAACACAAAATGCATTTGCCATGAATTGACCAACCACTACTTTGCGTACAGGTTATTACGCTGGTGGAAACCCGGCAAACATCTCGTGGCAAGCTTCACAAATTGCAGGTGGTGCACGTCATTTTGGTGTCATAGACCACACAAGAAGGTCAAATGCAACACAACAAGGTAAGGGAAAAAAATTGAACCACAAAAACAGCACTACATTTGTTATCTATAGTTATTTGTAGGCAAAAAACAATAGTTGCCATGTTTGTTGAACAGTAGCTGCCATCACTGGACAGCTATAGCTGCCGTACATGTCCACGCGCAGACTCACGGCTTGCTGTTTGAAATGATGTCGTGCCAAATCACTCGTAGATGGTGTGATCCGTTGTGATACACATGTTATTCAAACAAAAAACTTACTCTCGTACCTGTTTTTCCTATTACAGGGCCTACAACTACAGTTAACAGCGGCGCGGGGACATCTACTACGGGGAGCTCTGAGCACACGGAAGACGCGTTCCACCAGCCAGCAGACAATCATGACGCAGACAATTTCGAGTCACAGTCGAGAATGGCAATCATTCCAGCAATACCGACAAGCACCCCTTTGAACACAAGCACTGCCAACACTCAAGTGGATGGAACTGCCGCCGATACTGAAGTGAATGATGAAACTGACGACGAGGCAGAAGGGGATGAAGATGGCGGGCAATCAGATATCATGGTACCTCAACCACCGTACATTGGGCAGAGATTTGAATCGTTCGAAGAAGCAAAGGAATACTAC